AGGTTTTATTTGTGACACTTGTATCGCAGTGCCGATCTCAAAACACCCGTGGGAATTGGCAATGATACTGAAATACATGTCTGACATATCTCGATTCGGGTTATCAACGGTACGTGACCTCCTTACGGGCCATACGTTTTACTCGATGTTACACTAAACCTAGAAACGAAACGTATCCTGGTCTATGTATATTCCAGATTAGATTGTAGAATCTGTATACGAAAGAGCAACACGTACTTACTTACTTACTTACTTACTTACTTACTTACTTACTTACTTACTTGCATTCTTACTTATCATACTACAAAACCTTACTTCTGATTTTCTTCCTTCGGCTTCATCGTATATCTTCATCCACTTACGTTTTACACGTTTCTCAGAGATTGCTATCGTCGAGTTTCATTCTCTTTGAACGTAAACATGACTATTTTATTACACCTTTACGAAATACCATTCGTAGAATATAACGTCGCGTGTATATATATATATACGTGCATACATATATTCATATATATATATATATATATATATATATATATATATATATCTTTTTTTTATTTAAAAAAAAAAGAAAAAAAATAATAGAAATAATATAATCCCTCGCAAAATTTATTTTATTCGCGTGTTTTCATTTTTCCTTTTTTTTTTTTGTTTTTTTTTTTTTCGTTTTTTTTTTGTTTTGGTTTATTAATGTTTCTTTTTCTCTTTTCTCTTCTCTCTTCTTCCTTTTTTTAATTTTTATTTTTATTTATTTATTTTTTCTTTCTTTCTTTCTTTCTTTCTTAAACGTTCGAGAAAAAAGAAAAATGAGAAAATATTTTTGCATTGCGCAGCACTTTTAATCTCTTCCGCTTCTTTTCCTTTTATATTTGTTCTTTTTTTCTTTTTTTTTTTTTATTTTTTTTTTTTTTCTTTTTCTCGTCTCTTTTCTTTTCTTTTCTTTCGGCCAGCAAAACCCGTAAATCTTCGATCGTGCCAAAAGTACGGGCGTACACGGTGGTGTCCCGGCTTTGAACCCAGGCGAATCTCTCCTCCCGTCCTCGTAAATCCCAATCAGAATTTGTAATTTATGAAGTGGTTTACCGCGGATCGTAACGATTTGTGAACGGTACACGCGTCGAACGATGAAAATGTCGTTTCCGATTTTGGACAATGGTACAGTTAATCGTACGGTCAATTACTACGATTTTGTTTCATTTATTTTCTTTTCTTTCCTTTTCTCTCTTTCTCTCTCTCTCTCTCTCTTTCTCTCTTTTTACCTTCCTTTTTTTTTTTTTTTTCTTTGAACGAAACGCAATATTATTGTTATTTACGTTACGAAACAAAAGAAAAAAATTAGAGAAATATTCATGGTTTGTTAATTTACGCCAACGGAGATAGATGTTGGTCGTAACTTTTTTTCTTTCTTTCCGGTTCTTTTTTTTTTTCTTTTTTTCTTTTTTTTTTCATTTAACAGTCGTTCGTACCAATTCGTTTAACGTTTTGTTCCCTTTTCTTCTTCTTCTTCTTCTTCTTCTTTTTTTTTTTCTCTTTCCTCTTTTAGCACATCGAAGAAGGACCGTAGTTGCAAGAATTAAAATTTGGAACGAAAAACGAGGTCGTTTCAAATCGTAACCACGGAATAGAAGATTCGTCGTGAAAACGCTTAAAACATGCCTGTCCGTCAGAAAAAGAAAGAGGAAAGTTAGAGAGAGTGAGAGAGAGTGAGAGAGAGTGAGTGAGTGAGTGAGTGAGTGAGTGAGTGAGTAAAAGATAATGAAGAGGTATTACACGAGCGCACGTGAAAACCACCGGGATTCACTTCCCTCCAACATCCTCTCTTACCTCAGTTTTATCAGTAACGTCGCATACTCGATTCTCCAATAACGAAACGACCCTTATTAATCCCAATGTATACACGTGTATATATATATATATCACTTTGTAAACAAAATTCTTTCGTTCCTTTCAATTCATTCGAATTAATATCATGCGTTCGAAGAACGATACACGTTCTTATAACGAATTAAACTACGTACATATGTACACATACGTATCTTATTTTTTTTTTTTCAAAACTTAAAAATAGAACGATCTAATGAAATTTATTCGATCGTAATTAAAACATGTTAATTTCGTAATAACATAGAATAACGTTTGCAACGGATAAAAAAGGAACAAAAGAAGAAGAAGAAGAAGAAGAAGAAGAAGAAGAAGAAGAAGAAGAAGAAGAAGAAGAAGAAGAAGAAGAAGAAGAAGAGGAAGAGGAAGAAAGGAAAAAAAAAATAAATAAATAAAGAAAGAAAGAAAGAAAGAAAGAAAAAAAATAATAATTCTAAACAATACGAGATCTTCGTTTTTCGCGCTTGACGACATATTTATATATATAATCAACATTCGCGTACGACCTAGTTTCGACGGCGGGATAGAGGGGAAGGTTTGAGGAAGAGAGAGAGAGAGAGAGAGAGAGAGAGGAATGAGGGTGGAGGTAGAGGTATAATGTCGTTCTCTCTTTCTCGTGCGCGCACGCTCGTCCGTACGGATTTGATGTAATTATTACGTGCTATTGCGGTCGGCAAAGCGATATTCGAAACCGGTGATGACTTTTGCCAGAGGGCTCCAACCTTCTCTCTTTTCCATCCTTCCATTATACACAGGGTGCTGAACAAACGTGAACGAATCGAGTTCCATGCGAGAGATATGCCAGTCTTTGCAACCTAGTTTCCTTTATATATATATATATATATTATACAATTTCATGCATAAGTGTTCGTGTGTGTGTATATATATGGTTCTCTCTCTTTCTCTCTCTCTCTCTCTCTCTTTCTCTTTCTCTCTCTCTCTCTCTCTCTCTCTCTCTCTCTCTCTCTCTCTCTCTCTCTCTCTCTCTCTCTCTCTCCCTGTCTCTCTCTCTTTCTCTGTACGTGTATGTGAGTGTGTGTATGTATTAGAACGTCGAAGGAAATACAGTATTCTTAAAACGGTGGATACATAGTTTGTCAGGTTCTTTAATGATTCGTTTTATGACACAAAAGGGATTTTTCTACGTCATCGTGTTTAAAGGAAGAAAAAAAAGGAGAGGGCTGTTTCATTGAAAAATACGTATTTTTCAAAGGCACACAATTTTGTTCTCTCTCTTTTTTTTTTCTTTTTTTTTTCCCCCACACGAATTACGAGAATTGTCATACGTATCTCTCCCTCCTTTCATTTATTTACGATAATTCGATTTATTTCAAAGGTAAACAAAATCTCGAGACATACGTGTGTACGTATTTACACGGTCGTCTCTCTTTATTATATATATATATATATATATATATATATATATATATATATATCGCTCATCTTTTATTTCTCTATTTATTTTTTTTTTATTTTCAATAAACAAACAAACAAACAAACAAACAAACAAAAAGAAAAAGAAAAGAGATTGTTGAATTAAAATCGTACGTATGATATATTTTATCCGTGCAACATTTTTGATAATTGACACAACAGTAAAAGGAAGTTTAATTTGATATCCGACGAGGGGGAGACGTCTGTCGAATAAAGAAAAAAAGAAAAAAAGAAAAAAAAAAAAAGAAAAGAAAAAAGAAAAAAAAAACAAACAAACGAAAAGGTTTCCACGATATCGAGCTCGAAATGAGGAAAGAAACAAACGAGACTTTCATGAGGTCGCCAATGAAATGCGACTTACGTTTCGACGCGTTCGAGGATTATATATCGACGTAAAAACTCTGTGGTAGGGTGGTGGGAGGGAAGAGGGATACTCTCGATAGTACGGGAAAGTCATTTGTAATTTATTATTATTAACATTATTATCGTCATTATTATTGTGACTATTATTATTATTATTATTATTATTATTATTATTATTATTATTATTATTATTATTATTATTATTATTTATCTTTTTATTTACAAATTGCATGTCGGTTAAATTTAAAACGATATAAAGAGAGAGAGAAAGAGAGAAAGAGAGAGAGAGTGAGAGAGAGAGAGAGAGAGAGAGAGAGAGTGAGAGAAAGCGTGGGAGTGTTCGTATGGGTTTACGATAGAAAGAGACAGAGAGAGAGACGAAAGCCTGCGGCGAGAAAGCTCCCTTTTAATTCCACTTTGACGCCGAACAAGTTAGACACGGTACTTTATGAATATGACTCGGACAGTCAGAGCAACTTAGTTTACTGCAAATTTTATCAACGGAGATGGTAAAGATTCTGAGATCTCTCTCTCTCTCTTTCTCTCTGTCTCTCTCTCTCTCTCTCTCTCTCTCTCTCTCTCTCTGTCTCTCTGTTTCTTTCTGTCTTTGTCTCCATCTCTGTCTGTTTGTCTATCTATCTCTATCTATCTATCTCTTTTTCCCTTTCTTTCTCTTTAACTTGTAAAGGCAAATCGTTTCGACCGTGAAACAGAAAGAGGTTCTTCACTGTGTGCAAAGAGCGGAAATAACGTCGATACGAAACTGCTTCCAAGAGTAGAACAAAGAGGAAAGAGCTTTTCGGTAACGCGACTTCAAAGTGAAGGAGATAAATCGAGGACAGGTGTGAGAGATGTCAAGTTAGATCTCTAACCGATTAAACAGATGGCAATGACGTTTCCTAGTAGAGAGTGGTTCAAACGATCCTTATTTCAAATTATTATTATATGTATATATATATATATATATTATAATGATAATAATAATAATAATAATAATAATAATAATAATAATAATAATAATAATAATAATTTTTCAATGAAGCTTATTAATTTATTAAGAACATTTCAAGAAGATATATTGCGAGCAATTAATAATAAGGTAGGAGATTAATTAAGAGAGAGAGAGAGAGAGAGAGAGAATGATTATGATGTTACATCGTAGAAAAATAAAAAATTAAAAAATAGTCTATACTTTTTTCCCATGTATCAACTGTATATACATACACACACATATATATATACAGGTGACATATATGTATATATATATACATATGTATAGATGTATAGATATATAAGAATAAAGGATGATTTACGATTCGCAGAATGCAGGAAGCAAAGGAGTATTACAGATGCGCAGGATAGAATGAATCGTCGGGAGGACCCGTTGTTGCGACAGCATCGCAGCCGCTTGCTGCAACTCGCCGAAGCTACCAACATCAAGCCCGGTCGTGGAAGCAGCAAGAGACGCGGTCAAAGACAATCCCATGGATTTTCACCAAGGTTGGTTAGATCTCCCTCTTTACCTCCGCCCTGCCTCACCCATCCACCTTCTCTCACTCTTTCTCACTCTCTCTTTTTCTCTCTTTCTCTCTCTTTCTCGCTCTCTTTTTCTTTTTATCCTTTTTTTTTCTTTTCTTTATTTCTTCTTTTTTCTTTCATCTCATGTATCCTCTAATTCGAGAGATGACGAAATGATAAGAAAATAGATTACGAAGATTCACTAAAGTAAAATATCTAGGATCGAATGACAAGTCAGTTTCTTTATGTTTCATTCGTTAACATTGACTTCGACAATGACACATAATATTTTCTATTTATATAAAATCGATTAGCGATTTTGTTTTGTCCGTACAATATGATCGAATCCTTGAAATTCGAATATCATTTAAACACGTATAAAATATTTACGGATTATTTTCGTTAGTTTTGTTATTTAAATATTATCGATATTTGTAATATTATGGATACATATATACATATATATATATATATATATATATATACACACATATACATACATATATACGTATATAAATAAATAAATACATAAGTAAATACATATATACGTGGATCATCTTTATTTGTCGAATTAATTTGAAATATACGTATTTTCGAATCATTAATGAAATTATTAAGATTAAACGTTAATACATAATGGGAAAATGAATAAGATCGTTTGATCGATAAATAAATACAATTGATGTATATTTATTATATAACAATTTTTGAACGATATCAATCGAATAATATTCGATAATGCAAAATCGATAATACTTTTCGTTAGATAAACGTATAATGTTAGAAATCATAGTTCTATACACGTTTAGTACACGTTGCTCGTTAACTTTCCTTTTTCATTATACCCGTTAAATCGACTTGAACATTTTTTTCGAGTTGGCCATAGTGCTACAGAGAGGCAAGCCAGCCCGTTCGGTATAGTATCCGCATAAATTGGCTTACTGTAAACCGCCCACGGTTTTCACCGTTCTGCATAATTAACCCCCTTTAAGCTAACCGGTTACACGTGTGTGTATGTGTATGTATATATGTGTGTGTGTGTGTATGTATATATATATATATGTGCGCGCACACGTATATATGCGCGTTGCGTTAGTCTGTACGAACGCGTGCTTGCACAACGCTTTTAGTATATCTATCTACCACCAAGCTCCTCGCTTCTTTATTCGCTACCTCTCGTGGCTTTTGTCTCCCAGTTGGCGGCCGTTTTTTCTCGCATCCTGTATTCCACTCTATACCCTTGCGTCTCTAATGCATTTTGAATACGTTAGAAAAAGCCGTGACCGATGAATGAATGAATAGTCGATCCTTTTTTTTTCTTTTCTTTCCTTTTTTCTTTTTTGCTCCTTTCTCTTTTTCTTTTTCTTTTTCTTTTACACGCAAAATACAAGAGAAACGTTCCTGTTATCGATCATTCTTCCTTAATTAATCATAAACATCAAACGTTCCTGCTTACAAATTTATTAACAATATATTTATAATGTATACATGCTTTATATATATATATATATATAGAAATTTATATATATTTACGATATACACATGTTTTCTATTTATCTCTCTCTCTCTTTCTCTCTCTCTCTCTCTTTATATATATATATATATATATATATATATATATATATATATGTATATATTTATATTTATATATCGAAAATAGTTTTAACTATTCAACGCTCTTTGTCGCTCCGTTCAAATATTATCATTTATCTTTTTTTTTTGTTTTATTTTTGTTTTTTTTTTCTTTTTTTTTTTAGCAATGGCGGCTCAAGTACAGGACGTGTTACACTTCAGGACATCGTTAGAAGCGATCCAGGTTACACGCCTAACATAGAACACTTAGTGTTCCCCGAACGAAAGAGCAGTAATCCGAATTTATCTGGAAACACCGATGGCTCGCCACCACCGGGTACAACCAAATCGAAATCCAATGCTCCAACTTCTAGTAGATCCAGACTCGTTGAGGTCTTTGCGAGACATTACTCACGAGGATCCTTGCAGGACAGTACGATTACCTTGAGAAAGAATCATTTGAATGTAAGTGTTAAGTCATTATTCTTTTCTACGTTATGTAAACGTACCGCTTTTATGTTTATCGTCATTTCTATATGAATTATTTTCTATTCGAAAAATTACGTGCCTTTTTTTATTATCGGACATGTAATAATTTATTTCTTAAGAATTAATTGAAATTATAGGAATGTCTATTAATTAAATTGAACAATCGTAAAGATTCGATTATTATTTATTATTAATTAAGTAATTAATTAATTAAAAATTGATGTAATATTTAATTGAAGTAATTTAAATGGAAAAACAAAAAGAGAAGAAAAGAGATAAATTTGATTCATTTGTTTCCTAACAAATTCTTTTTTTTCTATGATGAAAAAATTCGCATAACTAAAAAAATTTCAATCAAGGAACATCTATAATTATTTTATTAAATAGAATACATATGTATATATTAATGATAAATAAATCGAGCAAGTAAATATAAGATTTAAAAGAAGTAAAGAAACGTTTATTCTAAAATTTTTCTATGTATTTTTTAATTGTATAATAATATTATTATTATTATTATTATTATTATTAATTAAAAATTGTTGAATGCTTAGTTGAAAAAATTTAAAAGGGGAAAGAAAAAAAAATTAGAAAAGAGAAAAATATTAGATTCATTTATTCGCTGTCGAACTTTTTTCTGGTACACTTGACAAATCTAAAAGAAAAAAAAAAAAAAAAAAGAAGAAGAGAAAAGAAAAAAAAAGAAAATTAACCGAGCGACACTTACGATCCTTTCGTAAGATATGTTTATATAATATATAAATAATAAATAAATCGACCAAACAAAAAA